TTTTTAGCAACATTCTCTCCATGTACATCATCACTAAAAAAAAAAAAAAAAAAGCAGACATAGTATTGTTATTTTTACTTCATTGTTGCAAATGAGAAAAAAAAAAAAAAAAAAACTTTCCTAAGTTCACACAGCCAGTGAAGAACAGAAACAATATAAAAAAAAAAAAAAAAAATAACTTCAACCAGTAAGTGAAATTTATTGGAGTCAACATCATTAAAAAAAAAAAAAAAAAACCTGGGTTGGGAAAGGATCTTTAGCATCCTCTCATGCAGTTTTAAAAAAAAAAAAAAAAAATGTTTTCTCTTGTTCTTCTTTTTTTTTTTTTTGGTTGTAAACTAAAAAAAAAAAAAAAAAAATCACAACTCTGCCTACATACATACACAAAGAATGGAAACAAAAAAAAAAAAAAAAAAAAATTATCCTTACTGGTGCAATATGCTCTGATTTTGTATTCGAAATAAAAAAAAAAAAAAAAAACTACTTTTACTCACTAGATTGATATTGATGTCCCGATTCACTAAAAAAAAAAAAAAAAAAATTTGCAAACTCTGCTCTATGGAGAAAGCTGCTTAAAATGACACAAAAAAAAAAAAAAAAAAGTTTGTAAAAGGAGGCAAGGCCAAGCTTGATCTTTTAAGCTCCAAAAAAAAAAAAAAAAAATTGCACAATGTGTGTTTCCTAGGCCACACCAGCCTGAGGGGAAAAAAAAAAAAAAAAAAAAGCACATGCTGTTCCTGTCTCACTCTGCTTTCAACAGCTCTTCCAGAACCACCAGAAGCCCCCAGACAGGAACCCCCTTCCAGTCTTTCTGAGGATGCCCAGGGAACACTGTACATTTGCTCCCAAATATTATTTCTTGTCCCTCATTTTCCTTCTCTTCTGCTCTAAAAAAAAAAAAAAAAAATTTCCCAGTGCCTTTGATGTCTGCAGGGCTGTCACTGCTCCTTGGCCATCAAGGCTGAGCTGTTGCTGGGCCACTAAGGCTTAGCTGCTCCTGGTGAAAAATTCAAAAAAAAAAAAAAAAAACCCAGGCCTGGATGGCAGCATTATTTATCTTATCTCTTCAGCAAAAAAAAAAAAAAAAAAAGTGCATAGTTGCTTATAGCACCTGCATGCCACGCAATGGTGCCAAAAAAAAAAAAAAAAAATCCCATTTTGTTACAGGGATCCCAAAAGAGATTCCTCTTACTCAAAAAAAAAAAAAAAAAACTCACGGGCAGTAGGCTGATAAAAGTCTTCATCCTGTATTCACAAAAAAAAAAAAAAAAAACTTCTGGACCTTGTCCTTGGGCCAAGCGTGGGTGCTCCTACTCAAAAAAAAAAAAAAAAAATTTTTTTTTTTTCCAGGAGGCAACTTAGTTCCTTCCCATGGCAGAAGCCTTGACAAGGCCACGGTGTGTCATTCTGCTCAGAAGTGTCTGCTTCCCAGAGTGAAAAAAAAAAAAAAAAAAAATCATTTTTATTTGAGAGCTTTGCTTCCCAGGTCCCAGGAGTCAAAAAAAAAAAAAAAAAAACCTATTGCAACCATGATGAGAATGATGGTGATGATGATAATAAAAAAAAAAAAAAAAAAAAACTGCACAAGAAGCACTTTTAGATACATTATCATATTTCATTTAAAAAAAAAAAAAAAAAAATACATACTATTATTATCCTCGTTTTACACAGGAGAAAATTGTGACTTAGGCAGGGTAAATCGTTCCATGGTCATATGGCTGGCAAAGTGCAGAGCTCAGCTACTCCTCTACAGCTCAGACTGGGCATTGAGCCTGCCTCAGCTCGGCCTCCTGGCTTCCCTGGGCCTCCTTCCAACTCTGCTTTAATCCTTTCCAAGCCCCTCTCCCCAGAGTCCCTATTGTGATCCACAGGTGGGTGGTTACACCTTATCTGAAGGCCTCCAAGATGGTGGAAACCCCTAAGCTTCCACCTCCTGCTTCCCACATCATCTCTGCGCTCCCTGGGGCTTCCTGGAGCAGTAGGATGGAAAAAAAAAAAAAAAAAAGAGCCCCCTCTTCAGTCCTCTCAAGGCTTCAATGCAGCAACCTAAAAAAAAAAAAAAAAAACTCTCCTCAGATCCAGTTCTGGAGCCAGGAAGTGGTTTCTGCTAAAAAAAAAAAAAAAAAAATCCTGCATTACATGGTTAAATTTTGCCTGACCTTAGTGGGTGTTTTTAATTGAATAAAGAATTCAAGTCTGGGTCTTAAATGCCATAGAAAAATAAAAAGTTAAAAAAAAAAAAAAAAAAACATTGTAATTTGTCCTTAGAGTTTCTCCTCCCCTCCCCTCCCCAAAAAAAAAAAAAAAAAATGAACTGACAAACTGAACTGCCAGATAAACACAGCTGCAAAGTAAAAAAAAAAAAAAAAAATTCTTTCCCTCATTCATTTGCCTTCCTAGCTTTACCAAGTCAAAAGAAAAAGACTGCTCACCCTTTCTTTGGCTGTGTCTTCATACCACAAAGCCAACAGCTAGAAAAAAAAAAAAAAAAAATTGAAACATTTGAAAGTGAAATGTAGGGAGTGACTTAGCCTGATCGATTACATTAGTCATTGTAACCAAGTTTCTGCCATGGGGCTCATCTCATGCAGGGTGGTAAAAAAAAAAAAAAAAAACCATACCTCAGTTTCTCTGTCTGTAATATGCAGGTATTGAATCCAGGATCTTTGAGGTCCCTGAAGCTTCTCGGGGTCTTCATTTTGTAGTTACAGAACACATCAAAAAAAAAAAAAAAAAATTAGGGGGTGACTTTGAATAAAAACCATCCTCCATAAAACTTTAAAAAAAAAAAAAAAAAATGGAGCAAGTTTCCACTGGGCACTTGAAGCAGGGTTTAGTGGAAAAAAAAAAAAAAAAAAACCAACTTTTAAGCGACACTTTCACTGTTTAAAGTGAGGCTTGCAAAAAAAAAAAAAAAAAAAAAAACACTGTCCTCCATTCCCTCCTCCACAGAGTCCTTGACAAAAAAAAAAAAAAAAAAAATACTTTAAAATCATGACTTCTCTTGAATGAAGAGTTTTTCTTAAAAAAAAAAAAAAAAAACAGCACACAGTATTTACAACCCCACAAAAACTGACTTAGTGATAAAAAAAAAAAAAAAAAATTGAAACACAAACCAGATAATATCACTCCTCTGCCTGATTCTGAAAAAAAAAAAAAAAAAACTGCAGATCATGAGCCAGACTTTATGTATGCTGTTCCCTCTACAAAAAAAAAAAAAAAAAACCCTCTCTGCTACTCCTCCTTACCTCTGAACTCAGCTCAGTCAAAAAAAAAAAAAAAAAAAGGCCCCTGACTTCCTTGACTAGGTTAGATCTCTTTATGAGAACAAAAAAAAAAAAAAAAAAGTTATTTGGCTGGGCATGACCATGAATGGACTGTACACTCTGCAAAAAAAAAAAAAAAAAACCAGGTTGCCTGCTACATGCACAATGCTACATAAGCCCTGGGTTCCTAGCAGGGTCTCTAACTTCGTGGACCTTGCAGTCTTCTGGGGTAAACAGACAGTTATCAAATGTGAGAATGCACATGAACGCCACTGTGCCCTGCAAAGAGCTTACAGAGAACTGAACAAAAAAAAAAAAAAAAAAAGGGGCCAGCTGCATGAGCGAAAGGGTAGAATGGCAATGCTTTGAAAAAAAAAAAAAAAAAAGGTTATGTCAAAATAGCATTTGCTCAAGCAGTCCTTTTAATACAAAAAAAAAAAAAAAAAAGAGGAGAAAGGAATGTGGACTGATATCCCAGGCTGGTCATGCCAAAAAAAAAAAAAAAAAACTTCACCATAGTGAAATAACCCACGGGACTGTTTTCCTCCTCTAAAAAAAAAAAAAAAAAATTCCTACTCTCTTGCACTAAACTACCCCACCCCAAGGCCAGGGAAAAAAAAAAAAAAAAAAAAATGAATTTTCTTTTCCAACAGCCCATCCTCACCTATCGAGTAAAAAAAAAAAAAAAAAAGTCATTTTCATTTAATTCCAGAATATCTCTACTATCATCCCCAAAAAAAAAAAAAAAAAAAAGATTCAGTGAGTTCACAGCAGACCTGGGTTCTCAAAGCCAGGTGTCTGGTTCTTAGTCCAGCATTTCCTCCACCATGTCACAGCCTCGGGACTGAGCCAGGCCTTTTTCAAAGCCCCAGGAAGCTAGAGCTGGCCGCCTCCTGCTGGCAGGGAGTTCCTTCCAGAAAAAAAAAAAAAAAAAAAAAGAAGGGAGGGTAGGAGAAGAGAGGGAGGTGGATTATACACAAAAAAAAAAAAAAAAAATGTTTCCCTTCCTTGTCACGGAAGGAGAGAATGAATTACGTGGAAAAAAAAAAAAAAAAAAAAAATCAATCATTCATGACAGTTAATAAATGTCAGAAAAGTATAAAAAAAAAAAAAAAAAATGAAAGTCACATTCTTCATCTGTTCTGATTTGTCTTTCACTGAAAAAAAAAAAAAAAAAAACTCAGCAAGAAACAGCAAAAGGTTTTAGCCCAATGTTGCGGAGAAAAAAAAAAAAAAAAAAATTTTTTTCCAGCCAGGGCTGGCTCCAAAGCTAGTTTTTCTTAAAAAAAAAAAAAAAAAAAGAAAAGCAGACTCCCAGAGGTTTCTGAGATTGCCGACATCCTAAAAAAAAAAAAAAAAAAAACCCACCCGCCCACCCACTCACTAATAAGACATAATGCCGTCCAAAAAAAAAAAAAAAAAAAAGGGCCTCCCGGTGAAAGCAGAAAGCTGTTTATTTTCTGTGAAAAAAAAAAAAAAAAAAATCGAAGGCTGGTCTGTGCTCAGTGTTTTCGTGGTGATGCAAGTAAAAAAAAAAAAAAAAAAGTTGGATCCCTCCCATCTCACAGTACCTCACAGGTCTCTTCCCAAAAAAAAAAAAAAAAAAGAGCGAGGAGAAGCTCACGAATCAGCTGCAGGTCTCTGTTTTGAAAAAAAAAAAAAAAAAAGGCAGAGGAAAAGGGTGGACTCCTATGTGACCTGTTCTTAGAGAAAAAAAAAAAAAAAAAAAATTCCAGAAGCCCTGTTCATGGTTGGGGATATTTTCTCGACTGCATGGAATCAGAAAGAAGCAAAAGGATGGGAAATGCCTGCATTCCCCTGAAAAGAATTGCAAAAAAAAAAAAAAAAAAATCTGCGCTTTTGCTGACTGAGGGGAAGAAACCAGCGAAGCCAAAATGCCCTGCCGTGTGTACTTGTACCAAAGATAATGCTTTATGTGAGAATGCCAGATCCATTCCACGCACCGTTCCTCCTGATGTTATCTCATTGTAAGGCCCGTAAGCATTTTGATATCTAAAAAAAAAAAAAAAAAATCCAGCCGGTGGATTTGGGGCTTTGCATGTATTTGTGGAAGGGCATGGAGAGAGAGATTCCTCTTGCATGCATGGCCATTTGACAGTGCTAACATTTGCTGCATAAAAAAAAAAAAAAAAAATTTAGCTGCTACTGAACATGCTTAGATACCCCCAGCCCTGAACAAAAAAAAAAAAAAAAAATAGCCGATTCATTTCTCTTACTTCATCCGGGAAGGAATAGTATCGTACTTCATAAAATAGTGTCAAAATAGTCACTGTTATGCTAAACCGGATTAACATAAGGTAAAAAAAAAAAAAAAAAATCTCTTTGTGTGTGTCTGTTTGTTTGTTTTCTGTTTTTTGTTTAAAAAAAAAAAAAAAAAAAGATCTGGTTTTACTGAAATCTCAGAAGGGAGTTTTTTATTCAAAAAAAAAAAAAAAAAAATGTGAGAAATATTTATATCATGACTATTTTTAATATGGCATATAAAAAAAAAAAAAAAAAAGTAAAATGATCTCAATATTAATTTTGTCAAATGTGATTCTATTAAAAAAAAAAAAAAAAAACAGTAAAGTGAGAGGTAGATGGGTTTGTTTGCGACTTCACACCAAAAAAAAAAAAAAAAAATTACAATGGTAAATTTGTTAACCTGTCGTGCTGTCTACTTTAAAAAAAAAAAAAAAAAAAATTGGAATGTTGCAACAGTGATCCCAATTCCATTCCACTATTTTAAAAAAAAAAAAAAAAAAGGAACTTTGGTTCTTTTGCCCTGGAGTTTTTGAATTAGTCAATAAAAAAAAAAAAAAAAAATATGTGTTCAAGATGTTGTCTCCCGGGGATCTGGGGCAGGCTGAAAAAAAAAAAAAAAAAACATGTGGGGGAAAAAAACACCTCAGCTCTTTCTAGGTAATTCCAAAAAAAAAAAAAAAAAAAGAGACAGTTTTTTAATCTCATCTAATTTATAACTAGTTCCCTAAAAAAAAAAAAAAAAAAATATTAATATAGAATAGTGCAAAGGATTACTCTCTGCTATATGAAAAAAAAAAAAAAAAAAGGAACCACATATTCACTCTATGCCTGAAAATATTCAAAAAAATAAAAAAAAAAAAAAAAAACAGATCTGTTCACAGGCATAATGGAACACGTAAAATTTGTTCTAAAAAAAAAAAAAAAAAAGTTAGAGTCCTACTTTCCTACTTCTTATAGCGGTATCACATGGAAAAAAAAAAAAAAAAAAGGACTTAGGTATCAGGTCACAGACTTGGTTTGTAGCTGGAGGGATATGGGCAGAACTAGCCAATTGTGGATCAGCTGAGTCTTGGCTATCTTAACTGCATGATTAAAAAAAAAAAAAAAAAACTTGTTTGTTTTTTATTTTTTTTATTTTCTTGCCTTACCTGGCAAAAAAAAAAAAAAAAAATTACATACACAGAGGCAAACAGCATGGAGTGAACGTTGGAGACAAAAAAAAAAAAAAAAAACTGCCACTCATAGAACCTAAGCATGTAGTCTTGTGCAGATTACAAAAAAAAAAAAAAAAAAAGTCTTCTTATCTCTAAAATGGAAGTGAGAACACATATTTCCAAAAAAAAAAAAAAAAAAACACTTGGCATAGGGTATGCCGAATGCTTACACATTTTATAAATAAAAAAAAAAAAAAAAAATGCATCAAGCTAAAAAGCTAAAAGTCACTCAATCTATTGTTTTAAAAAAAAAAAAAAAAAAAACTGGTTTGACTGTTTAATTGAATTCACAAACTTGATCAGTTAAAAAAAAAAAAAAAAAAGTTGTTGGCTAATGTCCTTCTACTGGCTGATGTCTTCAAATGAAAAAAAAAAAAAAAAAAATTCCTAAGGAGTTTATCTATTTGATTGATGGCTAGTGGTGTGAAAAAAAAAAAAAAAAAAAGGCACATCAAACAAATCCAAAAAAGATAGCCACAGAAAGGGGCAAAAAAAAAAAAAAAAAAATCCTTCCATAGGATAAGAATTTGCTGTCTCTGAGAAAGTGATAAAAAAAAAAAAAAAAAATCACTTGTTAAATGAATAAATGGCTCATTTAAAAAGCATCCTTAAAAAAAAAAAAAAAAAATCCCTTCCCCTAGGATAGTTACATAGATCAGTCCTTAAAATTCAAAAAAAAAAAAAAAAAAACACTAGATGGACATTAGCTGTGGCACAGAAAGCCTGGAGTGAAAAAAAAAAAAAAAAAAAACATCTCTGCTTTGTTTTTGTTGGGTGGACCCAGTCACGGCAAAAAAAAAAAAAAAAAAAAGTTATAGAAATAGTTACCGGCTGCTGCAGGGTAATGTGATTACACGTATTTAGAATCACAGAGCGAAGCCAAGGGACTGGTTTTTAAATAGCCCAACCGAGTGTAAAAAAAAAAAAAAAAAAATGCTCCGAGTTCCTATGGAACATTCCAGCCTTTATTTCTAAAAGCAGTTCAGGTTTCAGAAATAACAAAAGGCGAGTAATTCTCGCCCTGTGTGTTCTCGGTTAAAAAAAAAAAAAAAAAATCAACATGGTAGACTTGTGCCAGTGCTGATCTTATGCAAAATTAAAAAAAAAAAAAAAAAATCCCTAATCTTCAGGACCCTGTGCCTAAAGACTCTGCTCTCCAAAAAAAAAAAAAAAAAAACTCTGTTTCCTCCTATCCTCAGGAAAAGGCCTAATAAACTCATAAAAAAAAAAAAAAAAAAAGATGAGAAGGCTCTGAATACAAACTATGAAGCGATCATAACAATTGTGGGAATGCATGGATCCCAGACAGAAAGGTCTCTTCTGTGAAACAGGGCTGTCCAGTGCCCTGAAAACCCCATATGGGCTGCCAATCCCCCATTGGAACACGAAGACCAGCGGCATTGGACCACCAGATTAGGCCTAGATTGCACAAGCCGTTGAGGTTTGCAATGAATTCCAGCAGCATTTGTGATTGTGAATTACCACACTCACCCCTCATACACTGTGAAGAGATAAATTTCAGAATAAAAAAAAAAAAAAAAAAGTAGGAAGACAGTTCGTTGGTTTCTTGCTTTGTTGTTGGGAAGAAAAAAAAAAAAAAAAAAATTTCCATCATCCACCCTAAAAATCTGATAATGTCGTTATGCCAAAAAAAAAAAAAAAAAAGCTTCTGCAAAAGCCATGATAAGAAGTACTTGTTGAAATGTCAAAAAAAAAAAAAAAAAAAAACAGACATGGTATCTTCAGTTACATGCAGTGTTTGGGAAAAGATCCTGGTAGGCCGTGGCTGGCAGTTTGTGTTGGAGAACAAGAAAAACAGAAACCCACATTAAAAAAAAAAAAAAAAAAAAGAATAAAATTATTCAATACAAATTCATCAGATTAGTTGTAAAAAAAAAAAAAAAAAAAATCTCATTTATGGTTTTAAACGTAACAACAAAAACCTTTCCAAAAAAAAAAAAAAAAAAAAAATGTTTTACGTAGGGCCAGTTTTGAAACATAACCAATGACAATAAAAAAAAAAAAAAAAAAGCTTTTAGTGATAGAAAGTGGTACTTTTAGTGAATGGAATTTAAAAAAAAAAAAAAAAAAACATTACAGCCCTGTTCCTTCTCAACTGCAGACTGAAATCCCCAAAAAAAAAAAAAAAAAAAGGAAGTGAAATTCCAATTTAAGAGGACAAAATGTGGCCACGTCAAAAAAAAAAAAAAAAAAATTTTAATTAACTAAACCCCTGTAATTCCTGAGAGTGTTCTATTTTCAGGGAGTGATTTCCAGGGTAGTTTTAGTGTCATACTCAAATAAAATAACACAAAACAAAAACACTGCATGTAAGAATCCGATGTGACCAGAAAAAATTTCTTAGTATTCCAACTGGATGTGGTCTTGTTTGAAAGACAGAATTGATCTTTGATCTTTCAGGGTCAAAGGAGGGGAATGGAAAAAAAAAAAAAAAAAATCCACAGTCAACACATAAATACATGATCCATAAGAAATTAAAAAAAAAAAAAAAAAAAAAAGCAAAAGACATGAACAAAGGAAGGAATCAGTCCATCCTTACTAAAAAAAAAAAAAAAAAAACTTCAAAATATGATCTGTCCGGGAAAAAATACCCATGGTCTCCTTTACCTTTAAAGCAATTGCTACCTTTTTCTATTCCTCCTTATATTACAAGCCTATAATTTAAAAAAAAAAAAAAAAAACTCAAGCCAGACCTATCAGCCAAGGGTGCTTTTGGAGGAATTATTAGCTGGTTATAGATGAGCATGTTTTGGTTTATACCCACCTGATGTCCCCATGATGGACCAAAAAAAAAAAAAAAAAATTTGTCTACAATTTGCCCAGTGATCCATAGATCTAATCTTTAAAAAAAAAAAAAAAAAAAACTTTTTGTTTTTACTTTCTTAAAAATCATTTTAAGTTTTATTTTAGATTCAAGGGTCCATGTGCAGGTTTGTTATTTGAAGCGAATTAATTCTCGTAACTGCACAAAAAAAAAAAAAAAAAAAATGTTTTCTCTGAAAGTGTATTTCATCCTTTCAGTTATTCAGAAAAAAAAAAAAAAAAAAACCTGACCGCTCTCTTTCACTGTCCACTTCCCCCTGGACACGTAAAAAAAAAAAAAAAAAACGAATCTGCCTCCTCCTCTTCACCACAGCACCATTGCCTTCATAAAAAAAAAAAAAAAAAAACTGTTTCACAGGCTGTGGCAGGAGCCTCCATGCCTCCCTGTTAAAAAAAAAAAAAAAAAAGACCCACCTCCATTAGCGTTGCCTTTCCTGAGACACAGCTCTCAAAAAAAAAAAAAAAAAATAGAAACAGAGAAAGTCCAGACACCTGAGCTGCCGTCCATAGCAAAAAAAAAAAAAAAAAAGTCCAGGGTTATCACTCACACCATTGACTTTACACACACACACAAAAAAAAAAAAAAAAAAACGTGCCCAAACAAGTTCTGCAGGATCTCATTCTATGACCTCTAAAAAAAAAAAAAAAAAATAGACTTTACTGAT